AGAGATTTTAAACGTAAAGCTCATCTGTACTTTTAGGTATTGTTCGTGAAATATCAAGGAGAATATTCGGAATTGAAATTGAAATAACTATTGAAAGCCGTCTTCGAGCGCATTTTAATTCAATCATTAAAGAACACATTATATTCTCAATTACTAGGGTTTCACTTTTTCTTCTTAAAATATGTTTCACTTTTTCTCCTTAAAATAACCTTAGAAAAATTCAAATTGAGTTTTAAACAAATTGCATATGAAAGAGTATTTGGCTAAGGCAACTGAAATAGATGCAATTTCAGAAAGATAAAAATAAGAACAGTTTGAATTGCGTGAATCCTTCGTTGACCAATTCTTTACAAAATGCGAAGTCAAATGTAAATTTTATTACAATTCTAATAAAATAGCTTTTTTTTCACTTTTTTTTTATTTATTTTTTTTTTTATAATGATTAGCAAACTTACTAATTTCGATTTAATATTTTCTAGGAAATTAAAATTCCATTGCACTTCTTGTATGATTAAATTTTGATACTAAGAAAATTAAATTACTTATAATATTTTCTATAAAGTGTTCTTTTTATGCGACATTCACTCATCTTCTGAAATTGCGTTATCATGGAGACGTAACTTTCACTTGTGTTCACTCAATTAATAATCTAACTTTAAAAAAATGACGTTAAGGGACAATGTGGCCTATCTCTAAACGAATTTGCGATTATTTTTCCATATCACATTTGTTTTAATAGAAAATTCCAAATATTGCACTGCGGTAAATTTTTTCATTTCTGTATTATATCTTTTATTGATAACGGTTGTTAACTAAGTGAAATGTTTATCAGTAACCAGAGTCACCGGAGGAAAACTTCATAAATAAAAATTCATAGATAAAATATAAATGATATGTAGAAAATTCGAAATAACTTATTATTATAATTTTATATTTTATTTCCAGGTATTTTTATCAAAAAGTATTTACCGTCAGTGAGATCTGGTGTAACTTTGCTAACTGATATTGCAAAACTTATTTATCCTAATGTAAGTAAATTCAAAAAAAAAAAAAAAAAAAAAGAAAAGAAAAGAAAAACAATACACGTTAAGTACTTTGATTCTTAAAGAAATAAAATTATTTCCAACATATTGGAAGACATATATGATTACAATAATTGAGTCTTTCAGGTACCACTTATTTATCAATCTTTACTGACTTTTTTGAATAGTATATTTGTGTTAATACTAAATGATATCACGGACCACCAAATTCACTCGTATCCAATCGTTTTAAAAGGTTGTAATATTTTGAAAATGATATATTGAATGAAAAATACATTAATTTAAAGAATTAAATGTTAAAAAAAGCAAAATTATTAGACTGATAAAATCTGATCAGTGATAAATTAAGAGTTAATCAGAATAAACTATACACTAAGGTTCGATGACGTTATTATCAAATGGACATTTTATTTATATGTGTTCGTTGGATGTATCCGAAATTATCCATCTTAAACAACGACAGTTATATCTTAGTGATATGCAATTACACGATGCAACTCGAAATATTATCATGATCAATGAATTAAGACTTTATCAAATTAAATATACGTTTGTCAATTTTTCATCTTCAGAATTACTGACTGCAATGAATGATAGATGAATTTAACATTTTTTACTTGTGATAAATGCTATTTTATTTACAAACATTAACAATTACATTAGCTTCAATTTCAAATCAAATAATTATATGAACATTCAGATATTGTAACTTTTAATCGTTACAATGATTATTTATTCATTAGCAGTTTAGATTTATTATTCAGTATGATACATATTATTACATCATCACTGTAAATGGTGATATAATATTAAAAAATTTTGAAAAATCTGAAAAAATAATTGGTGAAATTGTAAAATGAAAGATCAATTATGAGGGGCTAAAGCTCAAAGTTTAAAATTGAAATAAAAATTGAAATGATCGCATTGCAATAGCTATTTGGTTAAAACATATTATTAATATCTAAATATTAATATATATGAAAAAAATTCCATCAAGAATCTATCTGTTTATTCAATAATAAATATTTTGAAGTGAAAAGTTGGAAGAAAAAAAAAATAATCTGACAAAACTAATCGAGAAAGTGGCTGCTGAGAAGCATCAATCGGAAAAACTCCTTTATGAATTATTACCACCATTTGCTGTTGAAATTCTTCGTATGGGTGAAACAGTTCAAGCGCGTAAAAATTAATTTATTCATATTTAATTTCATATCTGACAATCATTTTCATCTTCAGTTTACTTCTGATAAGTGCAAAACTAACATGAAAGTAAAATAAATATTATATTGATGTTTTATGCTAAAATTTGAAGTTATAAACAGGTAAAAGGACAAATGAGCGGAAAGATAATGCATTATTTAATGATTAGACTAATTGATCAGTAGAAATTTTCAGATGAATGTACAGATGTAACACTTCTCTTTTCCGATGTAGTAAAATTCACAAACATTTGCGCTGCATGCGCACCTTATGATGTTTTTAACATGTTAAACGAGTTATATACCAAATTTGATCGTATTGCAAAAATTGTAAGTATTTTTTATATTTTCATTTTTAAATCTTTAATTGTGGATTACTTTCTTTACTTTGGTCTTTTGTTAACTTAAATATTAGATATCAAAACAATTTTAAATTTTGCAATTTTCCAATTCGAATCTTACGATTATAAATTTAAAACTATAACTTTAAACTATAATGTTAACCTTTATAACTTTAGAACTATTCAGTCTGTCACATTGTTAAGGCTCCTAGCTTTTCAGTCAATATTTTTTTAATGCTTGAAATGTCGAAATTTTTCGCATTTGCTTTTTATTGAATTTATATGATTCGATTCCATTAATTAATTTAATCGTTTAGAACGACGTTTATAAGGTTGAAACTATTGGTGATGCTTACGTGGTTGCTAGTGGTGTTCCCACTCAATGCATCAATCATTCAGAACGTATCTTAAATATGGCCATTGGTATGCAAATGGAGGTGAAATCAGTGAAGCGTCCAGGAACTGATATATCACTTGAGATTCGTATAGGTATTCACACCGGATCAATTTTTGCTGGAATAGTTGGTTTCAAAATGCCTCGGTTAGTAGTAATTTTACTAAGTCGTGATAATCTCTCTGATCTACTTAATAGGGCAGAAAATAAAGAAATAGCATGATTGCTTTACATTTTTAGTTACTGCTTATTTGGAAAGACAGTTTCAATAGCTCGTAAACTGGAATCGTATGGCGTACCAAGAAAAATTCGTGTCAGTGAAACGGCCAAGAAGTACGCTATCCTTAGAATTCAATATAATTTCATTAGTTGTTATTTCTTATCCAATGTTTTGTTTGGTTTAACCTGGCTCTATCCATGTAAACTGTGATATATTTCCAGTTCGGCACTACAAACGAATAAATTCCTTGAATTCGTTGAGGGAGGAATTATTGAGGCAGATTTTGGCCGTGTGCACACTTATTTTCTGGAAAAAAACGGTCGAAAAACTGTTTGGGACATTTGCGCCCATCTTAGACGTTTGTTTTATCAATCTTTGCATCCAATTAACTAAAAACACACAATTTTCTTTTTATAGTTCTATCTTCATTAACTGCAATCATAATTCCAGAACCAGGACAGTCCACTGATGGATATTACGAATTGCACGAAACCGAGGAGACTTCATTTAAAAAACAAACTCCTTGTAAGGTAGGCTTAAAAAATGTATTCGAAGCATCTAAGAAAAAGCGATATCTTGCATCTATGTTTAAAGAGGAGCTTAAGTTGTTCATTAGAAATTTATACGATAAGCTATTCTAGATAACCATCATGAGAAAAAAGCGAAAAGTGGGACAGAAGCCTTCTGCATCTCAACCAGCTAATGCTAATCTTCAAGGAACGAATATTTGTGTTGTCATTTGATATTGCGCTTTTTTGCCATAAATTTGCTGTTACAATAGACATCACAAAGAGATGAAAGATAATACCATAAGTTTTTCTGACATTGTTCCTCCATGTGAATACTATGCAATCTGTCTACTTCGCTTGATCTATCTTTTGAAGTTCTGAACTTGTAATTTCTAAAAATACAGAACGTTTCAAATCTTATTATTTCTGTAACAGAAGTCTTCAAATTAAAATTCTATTCGAGAATCAACAACAATACAAACATATCTACGAAATTATAATTAAAACACATAAAATGCATGTCTATCGATCATGAATATCACTTCTATTAATCACAATGAACTATTAGGAAAACAGTTACTAATTTCAGCATTTTCAAAATTGAAACTGGATTTTGAGACGATTTTAACGGGCTCATACTTTTTTCTACTATTTTTTTAAACTTGTAAAATATAATTTATAAATTAATTGAAAATTTATAAATTAACTGAAACATAATTTATAAAAGATAGTACAAGAAATCAGAAATTGAATGCGTAGACATAATATTTATACATGTAACATACACCTCAAAAACTTTTGAAGACAATTAGATAAATGCAAATCAACACTCGACAAATGGCCAACATGCTTCCTGTACGTTTTGTTGAGAAAAAGGAATTCTCTTTTGAAATTTCCGAAACAGTTGCAACGTTGCTCCATAAAATTCTGTACAAATGTAAACAATGAAAGAATTTATAAATAAAAAGAAATGGCTTAACAACCCAATAATTCTAACCCATATCAATCCCAGACAAATACAGTATGAGTAAAATTATTACCAGAAAAAAGAAATGATTATGAAGAGTATGGATGACGAATATTTACAACAACAGTATTGTATACGTTCAATTACTAAACGATTCAGGTTACTGAACTTCTCTTGCTGACATCAGAAAAATTCATGCACCTGCATAATTACAATTACAAACAACTCTTTAAAAAAAAGAAAAGAAAATATACGGTTTTTACATAAAAATGTCTTATGTTTGAATTTAGCACCAGGATACTCCCGTAAATTAATAACAAGAATGTTCTAGTGTGTAGAATTTTTACTTGCGAAACCTTCATCAGATAATGACAATGGAGATGAAAATTCCAGTTTTGGGCTGCAAATATCTTTTGCAAAAGATTCAGATCTCTCCTCTACCGGCGTTATGAGGTCGAAGGAGGAGCAAGTATGAAAATTGAAGATGCTTCCTCGATCAGATGTATCTGTTGAACCATTCCAAGTTGAATCTGCCGTATGTTCACTTTCACTGAGTGAAGGTAACTGTCGGTAATCACTTTCTTCCCAAACAATAACGCTGTAAATAAATTTTATCAAAATATGCAGATAACTATAAGATATTGAGATGTAAGTCTTAATAGAATACACCAACCTTTGTCTAAAAACTTTTTTCCGAGTTAGATTGTAAGTTAGTGTTTCCATGATATTATGAATCCAGAATTCGATGGAAAACATATTTAATATAAAAAATACACCACAACACGGTATAGGTGCTTATAAATAAAAAAAATAAGTGCATTCCCGAGATTATGCATGCAGAAAGAGCAGAATTCAAATGAAATCAAACGCAGAAACATGAAGAATGGAATCTCCTTACTTTGTCTGTTCTTGATACTGCTTCAACAATGCACGCACCATATTCAATGTGTGCTCAATTTCGCGATAGGTTTGAGGTATTGGTATCTCAGTTTCTTTAAAGAAGCATAACATTTGCATTGGATGACTTATTTTCTGCAAAAAGAAGTGAAATTAAGATAAGCTGATTCGCGTTATAATGATGCATTAATAATGAAGATATTGATTGATTTTTGATCGATTGCAACAACATTTATTAGCTATATTTCTCAGTAACGGTTCTTACTAAGCAATACATTCGTGAAATGAATTCAATAAATAGAAGTTACGACTTCACGACCATCATAATAAAAATAAACGAAACTCGGGAAATACCTGACATGGCTTCTTCGAAGACTTCTTGCAATTTTTTTTCTTCAAAACGTTAGTAAGAGATGTTTCTTTTCCAAATTCCTGCTCAACCGGTAATGATGGATGTATTTTCAGGGCGGAAAAAGATAACGGATATTCCTCAGCTGAATCTGAAAAAATGTTTTCATATAGACTAATACAATTTATCGATAAAATTATGTCTCAACTGAACAAAGTTTCATCCTTTTTTAGGAATAAATCTGTATTGGAAATAAAATAAGATGAAAAAACGAAACACTGAAACACATCAGACTAAATTTAATAAAATGAAGAATAGAATGTACAATAACCTTCACTACCATCAGCAATCATTTGTCTACATGTTTTATCAACTGTATCACAAGCTGATGAAAAACATTCCACGGGCATCCGTGACTGTAGTGAAGTTAAGTATTCAATTAATCTTTTACATGCCATCTTCTGTTCATAAAACGGTTCCAATGTGTCTTCATCAACAAAGTCAGCATCTAAATTTGAAAGGGTGAGTTAATTTTGGTCTGTGAAGAAATCGAATCACTTAAAGTCATGATTGTAGTCTGAATGGCAGAAACGAAACAAAATCAACTCAAACAATAGAGAAAAAACTCACAAGACTGTTGGCGATGAGTCGTTGGGTATGTCGCTGGATATGGATAGTTCGAACAAATTATGGAAGAACATTGTATATCTTTTTTATTTCTATTTGACCAGTCGATGTATTCCGCCCGCTTCTTGTTGTAACTATCCACCAGTTTCTTTTTTTTAGCATGCAAATCGCATAAACTGTCTTTAAGATGTAAGAAATTCCGCCTTTGCTGTCTAATATATCGATCAGTTGTCTCAAGCTGACTTGTTATTTCACGGATTGACTTCAGCACATTCTAAAATGTTTCCTTCTCATTACTGCTTTACTATTTTATGAAGATACTTGATAAATATGAGTGCAGACTGCTTGAAAATAATGAAATAATGCACATAAGATAAATCTTATTACTATACAAAATTTCTTGAAACTATAAAATAAATAATAAAATTAAGGATCAAAATAAGGAACTAAAACTAATCAAAAAAAAAAAAAAAACCAAAGTGAAAGGGAAGTTTTTCCTGAACTAACACTTATAGTCTGTTAAAAACAATACCTAACCAAAATTTACTAAGAATCCACAACATTAAGCAATAAACTAATCTATGTACACCTTCCTCTTCCTGTTGTAACTATCCACCGCTTCACTTGTTTTCATCGAAAGGAAAAAATCGCCAGAAGGGCTGAGAAGTAAACTTCACAAGATTAAGAATTAGTGAAAGTTCCGATAAAGAGATGGAATGTGTAGCAACATACACTACGCCTTTCATTGATTCCACACAACTGGAGTTGTATAACTCTTTTCTCTTCCATGATAATATTATATTTCCTAAAAAAATGAGATTTGTTGTACAAACAATAAATGATCGCACTGAATCCATAATATATACTTTAAAAAAAAAAATGTTTTATAAGTATTTTGAATGAAATCAATGCTATGAATTCATAAGAAAACTACAACCTAAACCGATAAAATTAGCTGACTAAAATCAGCTTACATGTCGACTGGATAAACTACTTAGACCATTCAGATCATTCCTGTGCTTGGAAATGCGATTTTAATATCACTAGTAAATCCCTAAAATGCTTTTTTTCATCTTCACTGCGTCAATTTTCCTTCGTTTTTCTTCCTGTTTATTGCGCCAAAATCTTCAACCCTTTTTCCGCAAAAGTTTTTTTTTTCCAAGTTTTCCTGGATTTGTCTGCTAGCCACAACTTTGGGAAGATGTTAATTTTATATAAGTCTCAGTTTATGTCTATATTTTTTCTATTTTTTTTGGTATTTTTTCCAAATCTCTTAATGTAAAATTGAGGATGATTTAAATGCTTTTAACCATTAAGTGGTCTAGTAGAGCTACCTGGGCGTATTTTTTTTACAACTATTAGAAATCTAATACATAGTTTCTCGAGAATTAAAATCAATGTTCAGCAATGATTTATTGTTTAAAGTTAATTAAATAAAAAAAAAATCAGTATAGGTGACTAGAAAACTTGCGCTAATTTGGCTCGATTCCGTTTCAGTTTATCGATTTCCTTAACAAGTGCTTTTTCAGTACGACTAGAAGTGAACTTCGTTTGAGAGTATGCAATCTCCAATTCTTCCAAACGTGCTGTCAATCTGCTTTCATCCTTGTAGACCAAATCATTTTCTATATCGGACAATAATGCATTCTGTAAAATTTTCATTTCATGATTATATATATAAATAAATCAAATTTCATTATTGAGTGAACTAAATCCTCAAGAAGATATATATATATATACGGTCCATTATTTTTCAATAAATGGACCCATTTTTTGAAAATAATATCTTCCCTTCCATAAAAACAATGATCACAGTATGTTATAAATTCACAAGAAATGCTAAACTAGTTAGAAATTCTAGATTAAACTTCTTTATTTTGAACTTTAAATTTTCATTTTGTCATTTCTAGGTTCCTAACACCTTTGCTATTAACAACGTGACCGATAATAGTGCACGATATCGATATATTTCTATTAAATCATTAAAAATTTCATGATTTAAGAAGCAGATGAGTAGTAATTTCACGACATAAGGTAATCGCTAACCTTTTCTGTGAGCAGTTTTTTGATTTCATTAATTTCAATTTTCATTCCATCAGCCTCAACCTTCAATTGTTCCCTCCTTTTGCAAGGTTCTTGCTTGCTCTGCTTTAACATATTCAAAGTTCCAATAGTGTTGTTCCTTCCTATAATTCTATCGATCTGCAAATAAAGGGAAACATGACAAAGAAGTATGACAAACACATCCGAAAAATTACTCAACAATCAGTTGAAAGAGGTTTTAAAAAATTGAGCTTTAAGCATACTGAAATGAAGCATTTATAACAAGTTCATAGTTATCAAGAAGTAAACATATTACCAATTATTTACAAGTTTCTATATTACTCAGTAGAGATGTGGAATAAAGCTGAAAGAATAAAGCTAATTGGTATGTCAGTCAAAGTCATAACCTTATATACATACCCAATAGTGAATGAATGAATAAACAATACTGGTGGTGAATGGTCAGCAATACAGGCGATAAGGGATGATAGACAAAGATTTAAATTACTAAAAGGCATATTCATTAGCTTCAAGAAAAAGATTTCAAAACGCCAAACGGTCTTTAACATAACCTAGAAACTCTAATGACTGAAATAAATAACTTTGAAGCTAAGAAAATCAAGCACTGAAGACTAAAAGTAACCTTCGCGACCGTTTCGCTAATACTCTGATTATAATTACGAAGTTCCTGCTGAAAAGCTTGTCTATCTGGCACTGTCGGTCTCAAACTGGTTGTCGCAATAACAGTTGCATTTGTAATAGGACATGTCGTGCCTTTCTCATCCATTTATGATCGCTATCAATAGCAAAAGATTCTGCAATAAACTAGTGACTTTCTAAACTGCAATAAAATAATATATAGAAAATTTGATGCACGTCACAATGTTTAAAACAAGTACTTACGAAACAAGTGGCCAACAGTAGACAAATCATTTAAAACGTATTATTAGATGCAGAAGTATTATCATTAGTTTTCCAACGGATAAATAAGGTTCATTTTATTATTGCATAAACAAATAGATGTCATATTAGATTTTTAGAAGTTTGAAAATACCTTGAAAGATGAGGGATATGAATGGATAGAAGTAACACTAAAAGATAGTCAAAAGTTGCATAATGTGAACTACCTATCGATGGCATAAAACACACGAAAAGGACACTTATTGGATAATTTATCTAAAGACTTTTTTACAATCTTCAAATTAAAGGATCAAACGGGAAAAGGGACAAAGAGTGTGACATGATTTGATAGCAGTCCAGCATAAGGATAATATTGAAAATGGAAGAGGAAAAAGATATAAAATACCAATGCAAAAATTATGGCTTATATCATTTGAAAAGGAATCGCATTTTTCTTTCAAAAATGAAAAGCAAAAAAAAAGAGGAAAAAAGAAGCGTAGAGATGTATGTGATGATGATGCTACAAGATGACGCGTAGTTGAATTGTCGTCATCATTTCTCACTCACTTCAGCACCTATCATCTATCACTCATCTACGATCCTTCAAGACATAAAGCGGGAAAACAAAATGATGAGGAATGATAAGGATGATAACATCTACAGATTGGGTTATTACTGATAACAATAAAGTAACACTAATTAGCTTTGATAAGAAATGATTGAAATCATTGTGGATAGAGCAGTGATATTAGTAAAACACTCGAATATGATCACTATTCGAAATAACTGCTAACTGATCTAATCCTCTGCAACATTGATGTAGTAGCTAATTATATTACATAATTGAAGAAAAAAAATAAATAAATAAAGGCATAATCGAGATAACAATGTTCATTTGAGTAGTCTGGAAATATTTAAAAGGTTTACTGAAAATGAGAAAATAGTTGAAAAAAAATTTCATGTCATTTTTTACAGTTTTCTTTTATGCTTTAAATTGTTTTAGGTTTTTTCTTTGTACAAAAAGAAAGAAAATTAATTTAAGTACAACAATTTCGTGATATGTTTGGAGATTTGTTCAACAGTGATATTATTAGTTCAGAGTATATTATAAAGCATTCTCAATAATCAATGTGCTAAATTCTTACCATATTTGAAATGCAAAGAGATGTCATACATTGCATTTTAATATGTGATATTCTTTGTATGTGATAGATTCTTCACAAAAATATGCAAATTCATATATTCCGAGTATATTTTCTGTTATACTTAACTCTGTCAGATGGAATGAATATAACTGGAGACATTCTATCGAAAGCATTGTTCGATAACATTCTTGAATCTTTCGACTGATTTGTCTCAGAACTCTAGGAAAGTATTTCGATTCGATTTCAAACAGATTTTGTTTCATCACTTATAGCATGCCGCATATTTGTTATGTGGCATTTCAAGGTTATCATATTATAATGGAATGGTAAAATGTACTTTCCAGAATAGACGATTTTTCAACCTTATTTCAAAATCAAGCCCAAGGAATAAGTTCCAAAATATTGAAAAACAATATTGGTAGGTTAATGAATGCTGATGACTTCTTTCATTACATCTTTTATCTTCGCGGTTTTTGCTAGTCATTTGTACAGTTTTCTTCTTATTGTTATCAAAAATGATGCAAGCAATCAACTTGCTTACGAGTTATCAGGCTACATAATGGTAACAAGATTCAATATATTCCATTTTCTTCCTTTCTTTTTTTGAAATTTTGATAGACATAAATTGAAAAGAAAATTTTAAAACATGTAATAAAGAAAGGATTAACCATCAACTCTATCTTATTTGACATCCCTTTGTAACGCAGCTTTGTAAAACAACTTATCCAGATTAGAAATCATACGATTCATGAAAGCATACGCTGATGGAGGAATTTTGACAATCGTAGATTAACTGACAGCTTCTCCCGCCAATTAATACATTCCTTTCCGCAGTTGACCCTTGACCTTCCCTTTCTTTCTTACGTCCACACAGCTCCCTCCTTCCCCCCTCTCCCGCCCTTGTCTGAACTACCCTATTTGGCATTTTACCAAGTGACTTCGTAATATAGCTGGCATTAAGCCAAACTTAAGATTTAGGATAGATTTGATAAATTCCTGAAAATGATAAGGGAAAGCGGACAGGAATGATAAGGAGAAGTATCTCCTATCTCTAATCTTCATGTCCTTTTATCCTATCTTCGTAACAATCTTTAACTCATTGTTCATATCAAAGAAATAGCACGGGAATATTCATGCAAGCATTGAAGAATCGTTGTAGGAACCTGACGAGAGGGTGAGCATTGTCATAGGATAGTGAGCAAGTGCTGTGTGGAAAGGTATAAAGGGTGAGTCTGTGTGAGTGTCTGCATCTGTCTGTCTGCTCGAAGGGCGACATCGAGGTGTGCAGTGTGTTGTGACATACCTGCTGGGGTCGCATCCCTGTCTGTCTCTTTTGCTCGCTTCTTATTTGAAAAATTCAAAAAAAAAATCATAAAATTTATTGAAAAATTACCTAAAAGTTCTGTCTATTCGTCAGAAAATCCACTTCCCCCAAAAAAATTACAAAATTTCAAAAAAGTTTTTACAAAAAAAAAAAGGTGAACGAAGAATTTTGGTATTGCTACGCTGATCAATTGACACATTTTCCTACGCAAGGTTTGTTCATATCTTTTCAACTTTTACTTTTTGCACTTAATAGTTTCCATTTATCTATCCATCTCAGGACTAGAAGTCATAAAATTGAACTCATATTTCTTATATTTATTATTGTAATATGAGTTCTTTCACGTCCTTTGTTAAGTTGTAACTTTTATTTGTTGGATTATCCTAATTAAATTTCACCTATGTCTTGTGCTTTCTCTGAATAAGAAGTATCATATGTTGTAACTTTTTTAACAGTAGCTTTTGTAGAAGAATGACTGTATGTATGAAACACTTCCTTCAATCTATTTGATGAAATTATTGAGTGTAACCTATCTTTCAGTTTGCTCCAGCTTCCGTTCATACTTGATGTTATCATTCATAAGCTTCTAATTTTCTAAATATGATAATTTTTCACTTTCTTATATTATTTTTATATGAATTCTTCTTGTACCGTTTCTCATTTTTCACCCCTTTTATTTTTACTTTCTTTCTTTAAGCAGGTAACTGCAGTTTTATCATTTTGTCAAAAATCTGTCCCATTCTATGCATATAGTTAATTGGATTTAAGCTACTGGTCTTTATATGTCAGTAAATCGTAAATGCCCATATGCTAGGCAATTTATTTTTGTATTCTTTGTTTCCCTTAGATGTGACTAAATTTTCAGGATGCAGCTGTTTTTCTAGCAATTTGCATATATTCGCTAATCTAATATACAAATTTTGATATATTGTTAGAGTTGGTGTTTAAATTCAATGGCTCCTTGTTTAACATTTCATTTTGTTAAAGCTGGGAGACATAAGGTCGTTTCTTCGTTTTCTTTCGGTTTTCTCGTTTAATTATTAGTCGGTGGTGTGTGAGTTTCAATGACGCACTGGAGTGGATATTGAGGAAAGGAAGACACTTCAGTTCCAATATATAATTTGTTGTGTGGTCCGGATATTTCTTCCGTGTACTTGATAAGGCACTATCTAGTTCTGTTAGTTTTTTTGGTACATGAAGGTGAATGGTGGATGTTTGGCTCTTAAATTCAGAACTTTCTTAAGGATTTTCAGTGCATTTCAGAAATTTTCAAGTGAAGAAGATAACCAATATTATTCAGTATCAAGCTGAACAATTTTCAGACTTGATAACGATATAAGTTGGTCGCCAGCAACAAATTTAGTGAATAAAAGAAAAAAGTGAAAATGGCAACAGTAGCAACGGCTGGTGCTGGTATGACTCCATCATATCCAATGGCTTCGCTCTACGTTGGAGATTTGCATCCTGATGTAACCGAAGCAATGCTTTTTGAAAAGTTCAGCAGTGCCGGTCCAGTACTGTCTATTCGTGTATGCCGTGATGCAATCACGAGACGCTCACTGGGTTATGCTTATGTCAACTTTCAACAGCCTGCGGACGGTTAGCTATCTTTGTCAATCATCAATTGCTAAAATTACTGTCATATTTTTGACCCTGATTATCTTAACCGCTAAGAATCATTAAATGACACTATATCCAAATTAAGCTCTTTGTACGCTGAAACAGATAGACATAGCCTGATTAATTCGAATTTTATGAGCCCACTGTAGGAATTTGCAGTCACAAAATAATGTACTTGGATGATGAAATACCTAAGACTTTAACCTTTCATATTTATTGTGCGGTATGAAGACACTACAAGAGATAAAAGACTGGAAATCATTGGGACAAGGATTAAAATTATCATCTGCTTTTATTGTACTATTAGACAGGATTATTTCCAAAATATTGTTTGTAGAAAATGTAGTGGAATGTTGTTGTAATACTCTTAACTTCCCAAATTTCGTACCTACACCGTATAATACGATGGTCTATAAGCAAATAATTTCGCTTCTCTGATTTCTATGTACAATGGTTTTTATTTATAGCGGAGAGGGCTTTAGACACAATGAACTTTGACATGATGTATGGTAAACCTATTCGTATTATGTGGTCGCAGCGTGATCCATCAATGCGTCGTTCGGGTGCTGGCAATATTTTTATTAAGAACCTAGACAAAAGTATCGACAATAAAGCCATTTACGATACATTCTCAATGTTTGGAAATATCCTAAGTTGCAAGGTTTGTTTGTGAAATATAATTAACTATTTGTTTGCATATCTAGCATCACGTTTTTAGCTGAGAAAATATAATTGTGTATACCACACAGCACTATAGTCGTCATTGATTGATTCAAAGTTCTTGAAAACACAGTTCGA